CTCTTCATCAGCTGCCAGAAGGAGACCAAGTTCATAGGAGGCAAAGGCAGGAATACACAGCTCCTCCGGGTTCAAGAGGCCATGCTGGATGCTAAGTCGAAAATGCTCAACAGCATCGTCCGTCGAGCCCAGAGTATCTAAGACAGCAGCCATGATGAGATGACGCAGGCCCTCAGTCTCCCCGCACTGTCCCATGGCTTGGCACTCTGTGGGGGATGACACAGCAGTAGATTTTTATCACAGGGCTATACATTGTAACTGGACTGTGGCATAATATAACTGTGTACCCTGAAGAACCCTATTCTTGGCATAATATGATATACAGCCCATCTGGAGGTAAAAGGTTGAGTCAAAAATAATTGCCAGCTAATACATCAATGTAATGCATGATGGCCTTTGAGTGTGCAAAAATGATGAGGCAAAAAGTGAATCTCATAAATTTTTCAAAATATTCAGAGAGGGAATCAATTTACTGAACCGAAAGTCCTCTATTTGCCTTTCTCTGTTCATTTCATTTCATGCCATGTGCTTTCTTTAATTCAATGAGGCAATTAGCTGGCAATATGACCTTCATTTCATATCCCTAGTTCACCAATTTCTTAATGTATGCACACAGAGAGAGAAGAATGTCTAGAAACAAGGAAAATGCACTCTGTGATGTCTTATCATAGACTGTGCTTTTTCTTTTCCATGACAGTATTAAAAAAAAAATCAGGATGTAGTTCCATGTAATGATACATAGCTATAAATATATATATTCCTACGTACATTAACACTTCACTCACACACACACACACACACACACACACACACACACACACACACACACACACACACACACACACACACACACACACACACACACACACACACACACACACACACACACACGTAAAATATTGATGAGCATGAACTTAATCAACACCTACCTTCTACCATGTGCATGCGATGTTGCACAGAACAAGATGCCAATGCGTTCCAAAGATATAGAAGTTCATAGGCACGGAGAAGGCAGTAGTTCTTAGTCACAACATCACTTTTGGACTGACAGAAAAAAAAAGTAAATAAAAGAAGATACCAAAGATATCAATGCCATATCATAGACATATGTGTCTTTACCTCAACAACATACCAATATTGCCACTAAAACACACGTAAACAATATAAGCAAATAAGCAAATGGAAAAGGAATGACGCCTACTCTGAGTGCCCGACGCAAGAGGAACGTCTCTAAGGCATGGTTGGAACGTCTGACCAGCGCGGGTACTTCCAGCATGTCTTTTACGCAGTCTTCCTGTCTACCTGATGCTCCAAGACATACTGAAAAAGGGGCACCAACTTTTAAAGTGATATTCAAAGATATATGTGAAAATAGATATATCAAATAGGCAGACAGATAGATAGATAGTTAGATAGATAGAAAAACAGATAGAGAGAAAAATAGACAGATATAAATATATATAGATAGATAAACAGATAGACAGAGAGATAGATAGAGATATATAGATAGTTAGATAGGTTGATAGGTTGATAGATATAGACAGGGAGATAGGTAGGTATATAGATAGATAGATAGATATATAGACAGATAGATAGAAAAATAGATAGATAGATAAAGAGAGACAGGTAGGCAGATATATAAACAGATAGATAGATATACACATACTGTATATACAAATATATCCAATATTATTTAATGAAAGACATACAAGACAAATTCTTAAGAAAAAAAAAATATGGATCACAATTACTCTAATCGAGACCAATTAGAACTAAAAAAGAAAAAAAAAGAAAAAAAAATTAAAAAGGAATTAGACCCAACAATCATGCCATACAAACCGGCAGAGATATAGGCGTAGAAGCTTTTCGACCACCTAGACTCCTTTTTGAGATTTGCGAAGGCACCTTGGGCATGATTCCAGTTCAGTTGAAGCAGATGGCACCATGCCACCTCATGCAGGGCAAGGAGCTGCAGTTCCCTTTGCGGAGAGGCCTGTAAAGCTCCTCTGTAGGACACCAGTGCGCCTGTGATGTCACCCTGTCATACACAAAGAAATGGAGATTATGAACGGGTCAATCAAAAGAGAGAAGAGAAAGAAATGAAGATATAAAGATTTACTTAATATTTGTGGTAAATATAAGGGCACAAACTAAAAGCTAGTATATATGAAATCATAATCAAATCAGGAATATACATGTATAAATTGTGTATATAAATATCTATATCTATCTCTTTACCTATCTATCTATTTATCTATATACATACTACATACATACATACATACATACATACATACATACATACATACATACATACATACATACATACATACATACATACATACATACATACATACATACATACATACATACATACATACATACATACATACACACATATACATACATACATACATACATACATACATACACACATATATACATACATACATACATACATACTACATATATCTATGTCTATATCTATCTCTCTCTCTCT